GATTTGGTGAGGGTTTTGAGTAGTAAGGAGTTCGATGCGGTTGGTTGAGGATGACTAAATGCTTTCTTTGATGATGAAACAAACGGAGAAGATGAATGATTGAAGCTTGAGGATGATTGATTTATGAGAATGATTGATTTAAGAGGATGGAAGAAGATGATCTTGAGTATGGTGGTGAGGAGCGGCCGCGAAGGGAGAGAAAGGCAATGAGGGGTTAGAGTTATGTTTGTGAGGGTTTAAGGGAAATTTCGGGGAACAAAAGACGAAACCGTATTTTTTTTTACCCAGAAAGGCGCGCCCGCGCCCTACGGAGGCGCGCCCGCGCCTCAGTGTAAACGCGGCCCGCGCCTAAATCGCGATAAAATCGCTCCAATTCCCTGGAATCAGACCAAGCTATTGTCGCGCCCGCGCTCTTCATAGGCGCGCCCGCGCCACTTTGGTATCGCGGGCCGCTCACAAATCGCGACAAAATCGCTCCTATTCTCTGGAATTGGATGAGTATTAAGACCAAAGAGCTGGCGCGCCCGCCTCTAAAACAGGCGCGGCCGCGCCTACTTTATGACGCGAGCCGCTCCTCAATCGCGCCTAAATCGCTCCTACTTTCTGGAATGGGAGCAATTTACATTCAATGTAAAAGGCGCGCCCGCGATGGAACCAGGCGCGGCCCGCGCCTTGCTGCTCTTGCCGATCGCGCTTCAGCCGCGTCCAAATCGCGCTGAGGTTCTGTCTCTTTAGTATTCATTCGAGCACAATTTCTCAAAAATTCCTCATTTTTGCTTTACTCTTGTCTCTCTTTCCTCGTGGACACACGCAATCACACCTACATCAAAAATTGATTGGGAAAAATGTTAGATGGATTAGTTCAAGCGATTTGAAAGAAAATAAAATCAAAGAGGTTAGAAACCGGGTTGCCTCCCGCAAGCGCTTCTTTAACGTCACTAGCTTGACGTACTTCACACGGAATCATGGTGACTTGAAAAACATCAATGAGAGATAAATTTTCTGGCTTCTCAATTAGTTGACCCTCATAGTATGGCCTGAGACGGTGCCCATTCACTTTGAATGGAGGGTACTTGTCATTGAATATCTCAACCGAGCCATAAGGAAAGGCTTTGGATACTTGAAATGGACCGCTCCATCTAGACCTCAATTTCCCGGGGAAGAGCTTGAGTCTTGAATTGTAGAGTAGGACCTTTTTGTCCTTCCACAAATTCCTTCTTGGAAATTTGAGCGTCGTGCCATGCCTTGGTTCTTGCTTTGTAGAGGCTTGCACTGTCATATGCGTTCATTCTCAACTCTTCCAACTCATGAAGCTCTAGAAAGCCTTTGCTCACCCGCATTGTGGAGATCAAAGTTGATTTGCTTGATAGCCCAATGCGTTCGGTGCTCCATCTCTACGGGTAAATGGCAATTCTTCCCATAAACAAGCTTATAGGGGGTAGTCCCTATAGGAGTCTTGAAGGCGGTCCTATATGCCCACAATGAATCAATGAGCTTACTAGACCAATCCTTCCTTGTTCTAGCAACGGTCTTCTCCAAGATGACTTTCAACTCCCTATTTGTGACCTCCGCTTGACCACTTGTTTGGGGGTGGTAAGCAAGGCCTCGCTTGTGCGATACACCATACTTTGAAAGAAGCTTGTTGAATGCATGGTGCTTGAAGTGTGAGCCTCCATCACTTATGATTGCCTTAGGAACACCGAATCTTGGGAAGATGACTTTCTTGAACAAATTTATGACCACCTTCGAGTCGTTGGTGGGAGATGCCACGGCTTCCGCCCACTTGGAGACATAATCAACGGCAACTAGAATGTGTCGGTTTCCTTGGGATGAGATGAAAGGGCCCATGAAGTCAATTGCCCAAACATCAAAAAATTTCTAGTTCAAGAATCGGATTTTGGGGCATCTCATCACGCCTTGATATGTTCCCCGTCCTTTGGCACCTATCACAAGTCTTAACAAATTGCCAAGCATCTTTGAATAGAGACGGCCAAAAGAGCATGCATTGCAAAACCTTGGAAGCGGTCTTTTGAGCACTCATATGACCACCACAAGGGGATGAGTGGCACATTGAGAGCACATCTTGGAACTCTTCATTAGGAACACATCTTCTCAAAAGTCCATCCACCCCTCTCTTCAACAACATGGGGTCATCCCATATATACTTCTTTGCTTCATACTTGAGCCTTCGATGTTGTTGAGGAGTGAAATCCGGAGGTATGGCACTACAAGCCAAGTAGTTCACAATATCCGCATACCAAGGCTCCGATTTTGCCTCAAGAGCATATAAGACATCATCCATAAGGGCATCTTCAATTGGCAAATCGTCTTCATGTATTCTTGCACCTCCCAACCTAGAGAGGTGGTCCGCCACCACGTTCTCGGCTCCCTTCTTATCTCTCATTTCGTAATCAAAATCTTGAAGGACCAAGACCCATCTCAACAACCTCGGTTTGGCCTCCTTCTTACTTATCAAATATTTGAGAGCCGAGTGATCGGTATACACTATTGTCCTAGAACCAATGAGGTAGGTTCTAAACTTCTCAAATGAGTGGATAACCGCCAAAAACTCTTTTTCGGTAGTTGTATAATTCCGTTGAGCATCATTGAGAGTCTTGGACAAATAGTATATAACGTGAAGTTTCCCATCCTTTCTTTGTCCTAGAACTGATCCAATGGCCTCGTCGCTTGCATCGCACATTAGCTCGAATGGTAGAGACCAATCCGGTCCTTGGACTACGGGGGCGGTGCAAAGAGCCTTTTTCAACCTGCAAAATGACTCATGACAAGCTTCATCAAATACAAATTCTTTATCTTGTTGCAAGAGAGATGTGAGAGGCTTAGCAATCAAAGAGAAATCTTTGATGAAGCGGCGGTAAAAAGCCGGCATGACCAAGGAAGGACCTCACTTCTCTCACATTTGTGGGAGGAGGAAGCTTCTCAATCACATCAACCTTCGCACCATCAACTTCGATGCCCGCTTGGGAGATTTTATGGCCAAGAACAATGCCATTTTCCACCATGAAGTGGCATTTCTCCCAATTGAGCACCAAGTTGGCACTCTCACACCTTTCTAAACAACGAGATAAATTCATTAGGCATTTCTCATACGTGCCTCCACCAACGGAAAAGTCGTCCATAAAAACTTCCATTTCTTCCTCGATCATTTCACTAAAAATTGACATCATGCATCTTTGGAAGGTAGCCGGGGCATTACAAAGACCAAAAGGCATCCTACGGTAAGCAAAAGTTCCGTAGGGACAAGTGAAAGTGGTCTTTTCTTGATCTTTTGGGTCAATTGGGATTTGGAAGAATCCCGAATAACCATCAAGAAAGCAATAAAAGGCATGCTTTGTAAGCCTCTCAAGCATTTGGTCGATGAACGGTAATGGAAAATGGTCTTTGGAAGTGTTGGCATTTAATTGGCGGTAATCAATACACATACGCCAACCCGTAACAAGCCGAGTTGGGACCAATTGTTGCTTATCATTGACCATTACCGTCATACCTCCCTTTTTCGGCACTACATGAACCGGGGACACCCAATCACTATGAGCGATTGGATAGATAATCCCCGCTTCAAGTAGCTTGGAAACTTCCTTTCTCACAACCTCTTGCATGGAAGGATTAAGTTTCCTTTGCCGTTGCCTACACGGCTTAGCACCCTCCTCTAAATCGATTTTATGCATGCATAGGGAGGGGCTTATACCCTTGAGATCATCAAGAGTATAACCCAAAGCCTTCCTATGCTTTTTCAAAACATTAATCAATGAGGAGGTTTGTTCTTCCGTGAGGTTAGCATTGACAATGACCGGAAAAAGTATCATTAGCATCCAAAAAGACATACCTCAAGCTTGAAGGTAAAGGTTTCAATTCTACCTTCGGAGCTACCTTACCATTGGAGATTTCCTCCTCTTCTACTTGGAAGACTTTATATGGTTGGAGCATCTCTTGGTCGGGGGTTGTCTCCTCTTTCTCATCAAGCATTTCCTCATATAATTGCATCTCCTTTTGATCACCTACCTCATTCTCATTCAACAAAACATTCTCAAGTAGATCATTAGAAGCATGCATATGAGGGTACCTAAACTCATTCATCAAGTTTTTCAATTGTATCTATTCTAAAGCATTCATTGCTAGAGGAAGGTTGTCTCATCACCTTATTCAAATCAAATTCGATAGAATCATTGTCAACCTTCAAGGTCATCTTGCCTTCTTTGACATCAATAATTGCTTTAGAAGTAGCTAGGAATGGCCTACCCAAGATTATAGGAATTCTTTCATCTTCATCCATCTCAAGAATATAAAAGTCCACCGGAAAAGTGAACTTACCAACTCTAAGGGGTATGTCCTCTACTTTCCCTATAGGCAATTTTGTGGACCTATCCGCTAGTTGGAGGGTGATGTTTGTAGGTGAAAGGTTTCCCACATTAAGCTTTTGGTAGACCGAGAAAGGCATTAAACTCACACTAGCACCTAGGTCACACAAAGCTTTCCCCAAATGAACCTCATTGATAGAACAAGGGATGGAAAAACTACCGGGATCTTGCAATTTAGTTGGTAGCTTACTAGAGAGAATAGCACTACAATTTGCGGTTAAGCTAACGGTTTCAACTTCTCTCCTTCCATTCAAGAGGTCTTTTAGGAATTTAGAGTAGTGTGGCATCTCTTTCATAGCATCCACAAAGGGTATAGAGACATGCAAGCTCTTTACTACATCTAAAAATTTTCCGAATTGGACATCAAGCCTAGACCTAGCAAATCTTTGGGGAAAAGGTAACCTCACATTCCTAGGTTGGAGATTAAGGGGTAAAGATGTTTGATCTTTGGTGCTCTCCTTTTCGGGTTCCTTCTCTTTCTCTTTCTCACCCCTCTCATTCTTTCCGGCACTTCCCTCTAGAATCTCATTCTCTCTTGATGACTCATCCTCAACCTCAAGTCCTATCCTCACATCGGGACTCTTCTCAACATTTAGATCACTCTCAAGGATCTTCCCACTTCTAGTAGTAATGGCATACATAGACTTGGGGTTGACACCTTGGCTAGGTAAAGAAGAAGATGAAGAAGGGGAGGATGAAGAACTTGGTTGGGCAATTTGAGAGATTTGGGTCTCAAGCATTTTCATGTGTGCCTTGATTTGTTTCTTTTCTTCCTCTTGACTTTTATTATGGTTTTCTTGATTTTTTAATGAAATTTTGAAGCATAGTCATCATAGGATCCGGAGGGGCTTCTATTTGGAGGGGTTGAGTAGGGGGAATTTGAGAATGGGGCCTTACTTGGTCAAAACCGGGGGGTCTACTATTTTGTGAGAAAGTAGAAGCATTTTGAGGTCTATTACCCCCGGAACCCTGATTGGAATTAAAACGTTGTTGGTTGTTGGAATAGTGTTGTTGGTTTTGATTCCAATTAGGTCTTTGGTTTGGGTAGCTTCTTCCATTGTAATTGGAAGAGTTTCCCCTACCTTGGCCTTGGTTATCATAACCACCACCACTTTGATTCCATTGACTTTGATTCCAACCTTGGTTTTGATTCCAACCACGGTTTAGGTTTTGATTCCAATTGGGCCGCATTCCATTATTTCCCTCACGGGGCACAAAATTCATGGCATTAACGTCTTCAACATTATCATCATTTTCATGGGGAGGGGGACCTTCACTTATGGACATACATTGCTGAGAATTATGATCATAGCCTCCACATATATCACAAAACATACAACCGGGAGGCATGGCATTGTAATTAGAGGGAGAAGAAGTAGAAGGACTCATACCATGGCCTCCCTTGGGAGAAGGGGAGGAAGTATTTTGAGAACTTGATTTCATGAACTCCTCCATTTGTTTCGCCATCTTTGCCATTTGGTTGGAAAGATTTGTGATGGCATTGGTTTGTTCGACGGATTGTATCGTTCATTTGCTAGAAGTGGCTTCCCTCTCACCTTCGTACCAATCCTCATAATTGCGCACAACATCTTCTATAATACTCTCCACTTCATCTTCCCTTTTGTTCATGATTGGGCCTCCGGCTCCGGCATCAAGGCTAGTCTTGCTTTGAGGGGAGAGTCCTCCGTAGAATGTTTGGAGAACTTGCCAATTAGGAATCCCATGGTGTGGGCACTGCCTTTGTAACTCTTTGAATCTCTCCCATGCCTCACAAAGAGACTCTCCACCTCTTTGGCGGAAACTTTGAATCTTTGAGCGAGCCTCGGCGGTTTTCTTGTGATTGTAAAACCTTCCTAGGAAAGCCGTAGTTACCTCATTCCAAGTCGTGAGGGAGCCGGGGGGGACATCCTTGTTCAACCAATGTTCCGCCGCTCCCATGAGTGAGAACGGGAACATCTTCAATCTTATGTACTCTTGGGAGACTCCGTTGATCTTGATAGTGTCACAATACTTGAGAAACTCTTTGAGATGCTCATGGGGATTCTCAAATTTCCCACCGGTAAATTGCCTCTTCTCTATCATTGAAATGAAATTAGGCTTTATCTCGAAATTGTTTGCTTGAGTGGTGGGGGCTAGGATCCCACTTTGAGAGGCATAAGGTTCGGGTGCTCCAAGTTGCTTTAGTGACCTTTGATCACCCATGTTTCCCGATCCAGCCATGCTTTGTTGATTATGGTATTGGGCAAATGGGTTGGGAATTGAGCCTGTGGATGGTTCGCTCTCCTCACTTGAAGTGGGTGAAGATGGGGCAGGGGAGCTTCTCACTTCCTCTTGAAGTGGGTCTTCATCTCTCTCCCTTGCTTGTCTCCTCAATTGGGCTAGAGTACGCTCTAGCTCGAGGTCTATGGACACCAAAGGCCTAGAGCAATTAGGCCTCCTGTGCATATACAAAGCTAAGTAGAAAGTGAGCACTGACAAGATATGGAAAAACAAAAGAATAGAAAAGAACTAGTCTCAACAAGAAAATAAACACACAATGGAAACCGTTTCCCCGGCAACGGCGCCAATTTGACAGGCGGTATTTTAGGTCGTTACTAAGACACCTCTATCAAATGATATTTGTAGTCCTAAACATGCAACTAAAAGAGTATAGAGGCAAGTCAAGGGTCGAACACAGGGAAACGATTAAGCACCGCTATTTATCTCCTAATGTTAATCTAATTCGATCAAGAAGTATGGTGGGTAAAGTAATGACTAAGAGGGATAGAATAACAATTAAAACAAGCACTAGGGGGAAGGATCAAACATGCTATGAATTCAACGAAGGTAGGCATCGGAAAATAGGTTTACATGCAAACCAAATATCTCATACAAGGCAATACCAACAATACCATCTAACCACCTATCGGGATTAAGAGCTTTCCTAGCTAGCATACACTCACACTATCGTCGTAAGGTATACAAGCTAAGGTCATGCAATAATCAATCACCTAATGACTATTCCTAAGTCGCACTATCGTCACGATTTAGTTTACGTCATTCAACCACAACATGCGTATGGCCATAAACATGGAGTGGCTAATAAGTATAAGCACAAGGAAGATTTAATCACAAATATTCCAAATTAACCTAGCCTAGCATACATCAAACTCAAAGCATATCTTCACCAAACCCCTAGCAACAAGAAACTACTCACTAGTCATAACTACAACTACAATCATACTAAGCAACATTATAACCAATGAAATAGTAAGAGAGACAAAGTTTTTATCAACTAAACTAACAAAGGTAGAAACTTTAATCATAAAAACAAGAGAAAAGAGAGAAATATATCAAAACCTTCATTGAAATCCAAATAAAGAGCCATACATCATTCAATCTCCAAGCTTGACCATCCATCAATGTTGGAAAACTACTTCTTCAAAAACTAAGGGTAAAACTAATGTTGATAGACAATGAAAATTACACTAAAAACTATCAAGATTGTTCAATACAAAAGTGGCTAAAACAAAACCTTAGAAAAATTCCTTCCAAAAACTCCCCTCTAAAGTTCTATGCTGAAAAATAAATAATCTCCCTCTGATCCAATGTTCCCCCCCTTTAGCCGTTTTTGCCTCCCCCTTTTAACTTGGGCTGAAATCGGGATTTGAATCAGCAGCAGACAGGCGCGCCCGCGCCCAACAATGGCGCGACCGCGCGTTAAATGATGGCGCGGCCGCTCCTCGAAATGCGCGCCCGCTCCAAAGTGGGTATTTAATGGTTGGTCCATCTCATCAACGCGCCCGCGCTCAAGGGATGCGCGCCCGCGCTTGCAGGTGGCGCGCCCGCTCCTCTGGTGGCGCGCCCGCGCCATTTGTCTGGTCTGGATTTCTTCCCGTTTAGCCCTTGTTCCTTCCATCTCCGAATCAACGGCATACACCTGCAATCATGGAACAGGAAGGCAAGGCGTAATACAACGAAAGGGGAGGGGAGTATAAACTACCTAAACCACATGAATACACATTACGCGCCACAAAGGTAGAATACTCGAAATGGGCGGATCATAGCAAAAACATATTGAAATGGACCGAATTATTACTAAAACTAATGTATCCAGCTCTTATATACGTAACCGGTCGGTTACGGCTGAGGCCTATATTCGAGGTTCGTAGGTGGGTTCGGGTGGAGGTGGTGGTATAGGGGGAAGGAGTCGGGAAAGAAGACTGGTTAGAAAAGACTATCCTAAGAGCGACATAAATGTCACTCATCACCTGTCTGCAACGTTCGGCCATGTACAACAGTCGGTCTAGTAAACAATGGGATATTAGATATGGAATACTTGGACAAAATTCATTGCAAACAAAAATTCATTAAAAATAAGCCGGTCATTAAAGACCAGCAAAATATTCAAAGCCCTGGCCCCCTGGCCGGGTAAATACAAAGCAAACGGCACGCAAGCCGTGGAAAGAATACATTAAGCTTAAGAAGGGGGCAGTTCAGTATTAGCAGCTGCCGCCTGGTCATCACTCTTCTTGCTGGACTCGGCTTCAGCTGCATCCTTTTTTGATGCCTTACCCCCAAGTGGCACAAGCGCCACAACCGGCTCCTCCTCCTCCTCCAACGCTTCTCCTAACGCCTCTTCTTCAGCAGCCGTCAGGATCTCTTGATTATATGTTTCCGAACACTGGCGGTACGTTCTTTCCCAAGAGGCAAAGTCGGCATTGGGGAACAGGCGGCCCCAGGTCATGCGCTGGATTTGAGCGGAGTCTTCCATCATCTCCCGGACGAGCTCTTTCTTCTCTTACTCGGCCTTTTCCGAGAGCTCTTGGGTAAGACTCTTCTCTTGGCTCACCAGGCGTTCTTTTACGCTTGCCAAGGATTTCTCCATGGCTTCGTAAGAGTACATTTTTAGGCGAAGAGGTTTCAGCTCAGCCTTAAGATTTGTGATGGTCGCCTCCAGCTCGTCATTCTTCTTCTGGGCCGCCTCTAACTGAGCCCGAACAGCGGCGGTAGCCTGCGCCTGATAATAAAGAATATCAATGGTCAGTACTTCATTTTGGGCAATTTGAAACATTGCCTTATCACAGTCAGAGGCGGCCATAGCTTTTGCAGCCTTTACCTCCTTGTTCTTCCGATCAAGCGGCTTGCGAAGGCCGTTAACTCGGAGCAGGGCCTAAGTACAAAAAAAAATAGGCGTCAGTTTCCAAACAAAAAAGATAACAGGCGTCCTGGAATTCAAATACTCAAAAAGTATACCTCAGCAAGGACCCCTGCAATCCCATCAAGGTCAAGGGTGCCGACACCCCTGACCGCCTCCCTTTCAGATGGAGGAACTACTTTGATCATGGACTTGGCTACCTCTACCAAGTCAGGCCCCTGAGGGCCGGCTGCATCAAGCGTAAAAAAGAAAGTTAGACCTAGTCAAGAAGGAAGCAAGTGTAAAAGTTTTTACAAGTAATTGTCCATACTTCTAGGCGGCCCCGCCGGAGTTTTAGAAGAAGTGGCCGGCTGCTTCTCAGCCGCCACTGTTTTCCTGGAAGACCCAGGAGAGCTTGCAACAGTCGTCCTCCGGGCCTTGGGGTCCGGCTGTTGCGAGGAAGAAGCTCTTGGAGTGCCCGACTGAAAAAAAAAAAAAAAAAATAAAAATAAAAAAAAAAAGTTA